GGCGAAACTTTGCAAAAATCTCTTTCGCACTGACTTTCCTTTTATATATTTCCAATAGATTCAATCTCGTAGCAATGTTGCTTGAAGATACTTGCAGAAACTGCAGCTTTATATTGTTCGATTGTTTCACCGTCACGCCTGTTAAACTAAAAGCGTTCGTAGGTTTCATTTGTTCCACCGATAAGAGCCTCTTCAAATTTCTTTATAACTTTAGCTAAATCGTCTTTACCATTCCTAACCGTAGAATGCATTCTTGAAACATTCCCTGCGGTTTGGGTAATTACTGTCAAAAATAATGCGGTAAATAATGCGGCAATATTGCATAAATCTCCAAATGCATCTTCGACGAAATTTTTTCTAGTTAGTCGCCAACTTACCGACTTTCTTAAATACTTAGGCCTATGCGGAATTATTCGCACAGCCATAGGATTTCTAGAATATAAAAATTTTCGCTTTGCGCTCGACTATCACGGTCAGACATTGCTTAGTTCGACTGAATGTCTTCCCGAGTAAAACTAAAACAACGCTGTTCACATTCCTACATCTGAAATCCATTCGGTTGTTTAACAAATTACATTTCAAAATATAAGCTTTCTCATGTGAACTTCACAGCTTCCGCGTCCGCTGACGTTATTATGTGGAACTTAGGTTTCGCGGTTGCTACTACGTGCTACCTCAAAACCTCCATTTCTTATGCTATATGATATTACACTATATTAACATTTACATAACAATCCTTTATTAACAATACATATAAAATTTACGACCATAACACTATATATTTGCGCATACTATGTAAATGACTGATTGACTGTTTTCTTATATGGTTGCTATACTCAACCATGCCTTAACCTAAATTCCGCAACAGTCATTAATATTTTTTTGTGCAACATATTATGCAGTTGGTGAGCCCCACTTAATAAAAAGCGAGTTTAAGATGCACCAAATCTACGACGCGGACGTGGCATGAAAATTGCTACTACTGTGTGTATAGACAGAGCCACTCCATCACTTCATATGCTCTACAAAGATTATATCATTACAATATACTGGAGTGCGGCAAGGATTGAAACAAAAACATTAGTGAGAAATTTGTGAGTTTTCAGCGTCGTAGCTGGAACCTTAATTGGGGGGGGGGGTTGGTGGTCGGGTATATTCATATATTTGTCTTATGATGACTGATTTCTTTCGTACGCTATTGTTCCTACGATATGCAAACATGATTATATGAATATAAGAAATAAGAGACTGAATGCATGGACATAATAAATATAACAGTTGTTGGCAGGCTGAGGATGGATTTTGTGTCTCACACAACTTTCATTCTGTGGATTTGAATTAAAATTATTTTTAAAAAAATCTGTCATGTGTGTGATTAGGACATTTCAGAAATACTTGTATTACAATAAATATAGCTTAATATTTTTGGTAATATAGAAGATATACGCCCAAGGAAAACTTTTTAGGGAAGTGATTTGAACTAAAAACTAGGTACTTGTACTTCTGGGGCCGGTTGTTCAAAAGCCGGTTAACGCTAACCCAGGGTTAAAAATGCCTAACCCAGGGTTAAATTTTACACCTTGGTTGATTTGCGTTGCACAAAGCTCGGTTAGCGTTAACCCTGGGTTAAAATTGATAAAAAAATTAACCCTGCTAGCTAGATGGGTTAACTTTTTAATCCTGGGTTAACTTCGTTTCAAAATGGATGAATAAGGAGCTGAAACACGTAAACACGTATAATTCGTCATGAATTAAACACTTTTGAAAGGTTTTACGAATAATTTCGACAGAAAAGAATTATTTAAGTTTGACTTCGTTCGATTTCAGCTGATGTATTGATTTATTTATCTTCGCTTCAATGCAATACACGATAAATGAATACAACCGTACAAATTGAAAGATCGTAATCGAAATATTTGTTTCGGATGCCAAAATTCGATTATTTTGATTGGCAGCAAGTGGTAAGGCTACGTTTGTTCCTGAATTTTGAATAATCCAAGAATGCCTGAAATTTTAAAATAGATTGTTTATTATATGCATTGCTTAATTTTGTTTCACATCGCGACATTGTTTATCATACAAAAAGGCCTTTCATTTCCAATCTTTCCAAAATTCCATGCACGGAAATTGCTGTTTAAAAAAAAGGCCCTTACACCCTGCCCTCACGGCATATAATCTTTCGACTGACAATATATCCTTGTCGGGTAAAGTTTTGACACTCGTTTATTGACCAATCGAAAACGTTCTTATATCCAATTTAGTCGTTAAAATACATTTAATCTTAGGTTAAATATTTAAACCCTAGGTTAACTAACCCTACCGCTAACCCAGCTTTGAACAACACAGTTTTAACGCAGGTTTAGCTAACCTAGGGTTAAGGATTTTAACCCAGGTTTAGCACTAACCCAGGGTTAAATTTAACCTGCTTTTGAACAACCGGCCCCAGGGATATAGCTAGAAGATTAATTGTGGGTGGGGGATTTATATATTCATGTTCAAATATGCAGCCCTGATGTAAATTGAAATATAAATTCTGCAAACGCATATGAATAGTAAATTCTTCATTTCATTTTGACTCTTCAGGTTTCAATTTCATACCAGGGCACATAATGACACAAGTGTAGAAGTAAGAATAATAGTTATTACCAATAAATTATTTATAATATATATCAAGAAAATCTATATTCCTCAGTGTGATAACATTTTTCAATATGACATTCTCAGAAGTAGATAAATGTTGCTATAAAACTTGATATTTTGATAGACATCTTGAAGTACTGGACTGGAAACTTGTAAATATAAGTAATATTTAACTAGTGAAATGACTAAGAGTGAAGCTTGAGTGAAACTCCTGAAAAACCACACATGTCATTAGTTTGTAATAACATAGCTGAGTTTCTCACTTGGATATTACTAAAGTAAGAATGGTTTTAATAATGATCATGAAATTTTGACTTGATACAGAAGTGTGTTGTTGTTGGGCAGAATGTAATTATTTTCAAAACTGATGCAATAACCAAGCAAGAAAGTAGAACTAATTCCTTTTTAATTTATTTAAACCAACCTAATACCCCAGGCTGTATAGTTACTGTACATGTCTGAATGTAAATATGTACACTGAGTCACTAACTAATAATAAATGCATCAATTCACTTGCATGATTAATACCTCTCATGATTGCTCTGATATTTGTATTTTTTATATTTATTGGTTAAACTCCCTTTCCCTAGAACTTAGATCATGAAATAGAACTTAGAAACTAGCTCAGGAAATATTTTGCTTCATTTGAAATGGCGAGGGGTTGCTGCATGCATGTATTTCTAGTATCAAATATAACATTGAATTTGACAAGAAGGCCATTGTCTTTATTTCAATTTCCTCATGTATGAAGAAAAAAAGAACATGACATGACACACAGTTACTGAGTTACACAAAATGACTGAGACATAACTACATATGCTTCATGTGTGGGTGAGTGTTCATCACAAGATGATAAACATTAAACAGTTCATCAAGTGTTGCTAATATATTGTTTTCTCTATTAAAAGTTTGAAATATTTATTATGAATTAATAATGACTTATTGATAAATATTTAATATTGTACTTACCAGTATATATTACAGTACAAACTACCAAGTCTGTGAGGGAATATTGCAAAATTTAATACCAAATTGCACAAATAAATATACACTATAAAAACAATCAAAACAAAGTAATACCTTTTTATTCCAAGTACAACAGATCTGATATCAGAAATCTATTAAACGACGATTTTACCAGAAGAAATATCAGGATTTATTTGGTATTTTTATCACAAAGATATTCCAGTGTTTGGATGAGCGAGTTTTGATTTTTCACCACAAAAATCACGTGACTGTCTGTGAAACAATTCAAGTATTCCTTGGCGTGCATAGGAAATTCCTCAGTTTTCCTCACATTTCAACCTTACGGGGGGTGAGTTAGTGTTCAGTGTTTCAGGATTAATTAGTCTTGGGATTAAGATTATCTTTGTTAATTGTTAGTATTGCTGATTTTCCCGGAAATATTTGTTCAACTTATACAGGGTGTCCGAAAAAAAAAGCAAACCACATAAATATGCAGAACATTAATACAGCTCTAAAGCGCAATAGATAAGCACTTCTGGGAATTGAAAATGGCTCTTAATCCTTCATTTACAATGCTAAAAGTAATTTAACTGAACTATGGTGCAAACCCCGAACACTATTAATATTCTTGCATATTTAAGTGGTTGCTTTTTTTTGGGACACCCTGTATATGATATACAAACAACATTTTTTTCTCCTGCGCATTAAATCACAAACTGAGTAGAGCCGCCAAGCACCCCAATAATTTCAAGAATTACTTTTCATGTTTCAAATCCAAATACCATGAAAACAAAGACAACAATTTTATCAAAGTTAGAGAGCTTCTCAACGTTTTGACCAGGAAAGTAACAGTGATGCCAGGAAGTATTTATTGTCTATTTTACGTAGTTGTGATTATGAACCACATTTAATGCAAAGTTGTTGGGTGAAATCACTACAGATGGCGACGAGGATCAACTGAGTATGAACTGAAAGTTTAAATAATATTCTGAATATGTCTAAAGGAGCGAAATCGGGAACTTCTAGCGGTACTGACGATATCAGCAATACGACAACAACAGTGATTGTGAATCGACAACTAAATGTGAAGCCATTTATAACTTCAAGCGACGTGAACGAAACAGCGGTTCGTTGGGCGAAGTGGAAAAAGGATATCGAGCGGCAATTTCGATTCTTCGGTTTAGCAGACCCAAGTATGAAGAGAGATGGCTTGATTATCTACGGCGGCCAATGCATTGCAGACTTAGAAGACTCGCTACCCGATTTAACACCTATTGAAGACGAAGATACTTATACCCAGCTAATTCGAAAGCTAGACAAATTTTCTACCAAGAAAGAATAAGGACTATGCTAGATTTCAATTTGGAAATCTTTCGCAACAAACAGACGAAAATATGGCTCAATATTACACAAGAATTCGTGAGACGGCGAAAAAATGTGAATTCGCTAACGAGGATGAAGCGGTGCGTGACCATCTCATAAAAACAATGACGAACAACAGACTTCGGGCTAAAACAATTCGCAATAATTGGACTTTGACACAAATTCTAGACGAAGCAGCGATTGACGAAGAATCAACATCTCAAGCCAATGAGATCCAGAAAAAATTGAAATCAGAAACAGAGTATAAAAGAGTCAATCAGATAATAAAAAAGGAGACGAGACAGAGTTTTGAAATATGCCAGCGATGTGGTTCGAAGCACGAAAGACGACAATGTAAGGCGTACGGAGCAGAATGTTACAAGTGTGGGAAACGGAACCATTTCGCGCGAATGTGTAAAAGCATCCAAAGCAAAAGACAGGAAGAAAACCAGGAGACGCGGGGACGTGGTGAGAAGCAAGATGTAAAGAACGGGAGAAAATATAACCAAGAAACAAGAAGGAATCGAAGTAAAAGCAAGGGTAGATTTAGTCGAAAGCGTATTCGCCACGTGGAAGTAAATAAAGACGATGAAGAAACTAGCAACAGCGATGATGACAGTACGGACGAAGATATCGAAAGAATTGTAAAGCATTTAAATATCCATCGTACAGCTAAAGAACGGGGCGAGAAGAACGAGTGTGCTATTACAATAAACGGAATGAAGATGATCGTTGAACCAGACACTGGTGCTGATGCAAATGTTATGGACGAATACCAATTTAAATCACTTCTACAACAAACACCAGAAGAAACAGAATTACGAAAGACAAAAATGAAGCTAAAAACATTAACAGAAGAATTACCAGTGATGGGTGAATGCAGCGTGACGATGGAAAATGAAACTCGGAAAGCGGAAGCTACGATTGCGGTTATTAAAGGGAAGATAGATTCATATCCGCTATTGGGAAGGAAAACCTTAGAAGATCTTGGTATGGTAAAATTTGATGCGACGGGCAGATTAAAAGAGCCAAATCGTGACCTGAAATCCATCAACCGGATCAACCATGAAAACAAAGAATTAGTCGAGATAATTGGTCAGCACGAAGAACGGTTTAAAGGAATTGGACAGGTGAAACGTGACGGTGAAGTCGTAGTAATAAATCTGCCGATGAAAGAAAATGTAGAACCGGTAGCACAGAAACCACGACGAGTACCCTATCATCTGGTGGAACCACTACGAAAAAGAATTGACGAGTTCGTAGAGTATGGAATTATGGAGAAAGTACCAGAATGCGAATCAATTAGTTGGTGTTCACCTCTTGTGGTACAACCTAAGCCCAACAATCCGAGCGATATCAGAGTCAGCCTGGACCTCCGTGTACTTAATAAGTCGATGGAGCGTACCCAACAAGTTCAGGCTCCTATCACAGAAGATTTCATTACCACCTTCAAGGACTGTACAATATTTAGCAAGCTAGATATGAATCATGGTTATCATCAGTTTACCCTCGATGAGCAATCCAGAAAGCTGATGACATTCTCGACACCGTGGGGTAACTATCGATACCAACGATTGGCGTTCGGAGGTATTAATAGCCAAGATCTGTTCGATGCAGAGATGAGCAAAATTATTTCTGGAATACCAAGAGTGCTGAATAACAGAGATGACATCATGGTGGGCGGAATCGATTGGGAAGACCATAACAAGAATCTAGCAACTTTACTTCAGAGACTGGAGTTACATAACATCACCTTACGAAAGGAGAAATGCGAATTTGGAAGATCGGAGATCGAGTTTCATGGCCATTTATTTACGAAGGATGGACTGAAACCAAGCCCAAATAAAGTGGAAGCGGTGCAAGAGTGTAGTCCACCTAAATCAAAAGAAGAAGTAGTATCGTTTGTACAAATGTTGGCTTATTTGTCTCGGTACATAAGTAACTTTTCCCGAAGATGCGAGCCACTGAGAAGGATCACTAAAGATAACCAAAAGTTTTTTGGACGCAAGAGCAACAAGAAGCCTTTGAAGATTTAAAGAAAGCTATTATTACGGCTCCAGTATTGATTCCATTTCGACCAGAACGAGACACTCGTGTGATATGCGATGGAAGTCCGATAGGATTGGGAGGAGGTCTCTTTCAGAAAACAGAGAAGGGGTATCAACCAGTTCATTATGTAAGTCGAACACTTACAGACGTAGAGAAGAGATACTCGCAGATTGAACGTGAAGCTTTAGCAGCAGAATTTACCACCAGCAGACTACGTATGTATTTACTCGGAGCGAAGCACTTCGAACTAGTAACTGACCACAAACCACTCCTTCCAATGTTTAACAAACCTAAAGCCAAATTACCACCACGGATAGAAAGAATGATTATGAAGATGCAGAATCTTGATTTCACAGCAGTCTATGCACCTGGAAAAACGAACATGACAGACTATCTTTCGAGACATCCACTACCAGAAACAGTTGAGACGAGTCATGAGAACCATGTGAAAGCAGTCATCGAAATTCACCATGCCATTATGTTAGAAACAATTAGGACGGCAACAAAGGAAGATTCAGTTCTTCAAAAAGTGAAAGAAGCGTTAATTAGTGGAAGATGGAACAAGATTTCACCAGAGTTAGCACCTTACTACGAGCTAAGAGCAGAGATATACGTGGCAGAAGGAGTAATACTGAGAAACGATCGAATAATTCCACCTGAAAGCTTACGAGAAAAAATTATTCGTACGGCACACAGTCAGGGACACTTGGGAATCACAAAAACAAAGGCGATGATCAGGAAGAAATATTGGTTTCCGGCGATGAATCAGCGTATCGAAAACACCGTTCGGGACTGTTTTAGCTGCCAGATCTCTACAAATACACACCACACGGAACCGGCAAAGATGACGGAACTGCCAGAAAGACCGTGGGATACAGTTGAGATGGATTTTTGCGGTCCGTTCCCAAATGGTGAATATGCGTTAGTTGTTACGGATCAGTACTCAAGATATCCGGAAGTGGAGTTCGTAAGATCAACCTCGCATATATCGGTTCAGAAGAAACTGAAGAAGATATTTTCAACGTATGGAATACCAAAGAGAGTTCAAACTGATAATGGACCTCCATTCAATTCAAATGATTTCCAACGATTTGCTGAGGTGACGGGGTTTCGGCATAAGAAGATTACACCCAGACATCCTAAAGCTCAAGGACAAGTTGAAGGGTTTAATAAGCTCGTGAATAAGACAGCAAGTATAGCATCTCAAGAGGGTTTGGATCTACACGAGGCAACCTACGATATGCTTCAAGCGTACAGATCAACGCCACATCCAGCTACTAAAGCTACTCCCTATGAATTATTGATGAACAGACAAGTGCGAACAAAATTGGATCACTTTCCTGTAGAATTATCTCCGAAAGATAAAGAAACACGAGAGTTGGACGCAAGTTACAAGAAGAAAGTGAAGCTGTATCATGATAAACGACATAATTCCAAACGGCACATATTTCAAATTGGAAACGCAGTTGTTCTAAAGAGAGAGAAGAAGAGAAAAACGGAGACTATATATGAACCATACATATACATCATTACAGATATCAAGGGATCTACAATATTTGCAAGAAGAATAACTGATGGTAAAACGGTGTGCAGAGACTCATCCAGATTTAAACGGTTAAATGGAAGAAGCGACAAAGACAAAGAAGAAAAGAAGATGGAAGAATTAAAGAAAGGTGAATCACAAGTACCACCATCATTCACTCTGAGAGACAAGAAGATAATTAACAATGAAGAAAATGAAGATCAAGAATTAATTAACAACGAAGTAAGATATGATGTAGAGGACACTAATCAAGAGGTAAATCCACCAATTAGAAGATCGACACGAAAACGTATTTCAATATTTGAGAAACAATTAAGAGATTATACTCAGTGAACTTATAAGAAACTCATTAGAACGGTTTTAGAAAACTAGAAAATACAATAGAAAAAACTGATTAAAACAATAGATTAGAGTATATGGAAGTAACAATATTATATGGTAGATTATAAAGTTGGTTACATAGGCATAGATATTAATATTTGTAGAATTAGGAATAAGGAATTTATAAATTGGTTAGCAATATTTAAGGAACTGGAAAAAGGAGGATTGTAGTATATGAATTATAATAATTGTATGCATGATCACATATGGTAATTATTAGATCTGTATTTAAGTAGGGGTGTGGATAATGTGAATAGATTCATTCGACAAGTAAGCAATACGAGTGTGCTTGGTTTATCACTATAACGTTAGACGGTCACTACACTTGTATTACAATAAATATAGCTTAGGATATTTCAGAAATACTTCTATTACAATAAATATAGCTTTAGGGAAGTGATTTGTACTAAAAACTCTGCAAAAGTACTTGTAAATTAGGGATATAGCTAGAAGATTAATTGTGGGTGGGGGGATTTATATATTCATGTTCAAATAAGCGTCCCTGATGTAAATTGAAATATAAACTCTGCAAACGCATATGAATAGTAAATTCTTCATTTCATTTTGACTCTTCGGGCTTCAATTTCATACCAGGGCACATGATGACACAAGTGTAGAAGTCAGAATAATAGTTATTACGAATAAATTATTTATAATATATATCAAGAAAATCTATATTCCTCAGTATGATAACATTTTTCAATATGACATTCTCAGAAGTAGATAAATGTTGCTATAAAACTTGATACTTTGACCTCTCAGACATCTTGAATACTGGACTGGAAACTTGTAAATATAAGTAATATTTAACTAGTGAAATTACTAAGGGTGAAGCTTGAGTGAAACTCCTGAAAAACCACACATGTCATTAGTTTGTAATAACATAGCTGAGTTTCTCATTTGGATATTACTAAAGTAAGAATGGTATTAATAATGATCATGAAATTTTGATTTGATCAAGACAGAAGTGTGTTGTTGTTGGGCAGAATGTAATTATTTTCAAAATTGATCCAATAACCTAGTAAGAACAAGTAGAACTAATTCCTTTTAAATTTATTTAAACCAACCTAATACCCCAGGCTGTATAGTTACTGTACATGTCTGAATATAAATACGTACACTGAGTCACTGACTTATAATAAATGCATCAATTCACACTTGCACGATTAATACCTCTCATTATTGCTCTCATATTTGTATTTTTTATATTTATTAGTTAAACTCCCTTTCCCTAGAACTTAGATCACGAAATAGAAATCAGAAACAAGCTCAGGAAATATTTTGCTTCATTTGAAATGGCGAAGGGTTGCTGCATGCATGTATTTCTAGTAACAATATAACATTGAATTTGACAAGAAGAACATTATCTTTATTTCAATTTCCTCATGTATGGAGAAAAAACAAACATTACATGACACAAAGTTACACAAAATGACTGAGACATAACTATGCTTCATGGGTGGGTGAGTGTTCATCACAAGATGATAAATATTAAACAGTTCATCAAGTGTTGCTAATATATTGTTTTTGCTATCACAAGTTTGAAATATTTATTATGAATTGATAATGACTTATTGATAAATATTTAATGTTGTAGTTACCAGTATATATTACAGTACAAACTACCAAGTCTGTGGGGGAATATTGCAAAATTTAATACCAAATTGCACAAATAAACATACACTATAAAAACAATCAAAACAAAGTAATACCTTTTTATTCCAAGTACAACAGATCTGATATCAGAAATCTATTAAACGATGATTTTACCAGAAGAAATATCAGGATTTATTTGGTATTTTTATCACAAAGATATTCCAGTGTTTGGATGTGCGAGTTTTGATTTTTCACCACAAAAATCACGTGACTGTCTGTGAAACAATTCAAGTATTCCTTGGCGTGCATAGGAAATTCCTCAGTTTTCCTGACATTTTAACCTTACGGGGAGTGAGTTAGTGTTCAGTGTTTCAGGATTAATTAGTCTTGGGATTAAGATTATCTTTGTTAATTGTTAGTATTGCTGATTTTCCCGGAAATATTTGTTCAACTTATACAGGGTGTCCGAAAAAAAAAGCAAACCACATAAATATGCAGAACATTAATACAGCTCTAAAGCGCAATAGATAAGCACTTCTGGGAATTGAAAATGGCTCTTAATCCTTCATTTACAATGCTAAAAGTAATTTAACTGAACTATGGTGCAAACCCCGAACACTATTAATATTCTTGCATATTTAAGTGGTTGCTTTTTTTTGGGACACCCTGTATATGATATACAAACAACATTTTTTTCTCCTGCGCATTAAATCACAAACTGAGTAGAGCCGCCAAGCACCCCAATAATTTCAAGAATTACTTTTCATGTTTCAAATCCAAATACCATGAAAACAAAGACAACAATTTTATCAAAGTTAGAGAGCTTCTCAACGTTTTGACCAGGAAAGTAACAGTGATGCCAGGAAGTATTTATTGTCTATTTTACGTAGTTGTGATTATGAACCACATTTAATGCAAAGTTGTTGGGTGAAATCACTACAGATGGCGACGAGGATCAACTGAGTATGAACTGAAAGTTTAAATAATATTCTGAATATGTCTAAAGGAGCGAAATCGGGAACTTCTAGCGGTACTGACGATATCAGCAATACGACAACAACAGTGATTGTGAATCGACAACTAAATGTGAAGCCATTTATAACTTCAAGCGACGTGAACGAAACAGCGGTTCGTTGGGCGAAGTGGAAAAAGGATATCGAGCGGCAATTTCGATTCTTCGGTTTAGCAGACCCAAGTATGAAGAGAGATGGCTTGATTATCTACGGCGGCCAATGCATTGCAGACTTAGAAGACTCGCTACCCGATTTAACACCTATTGAAGACGAAGATACTTATACCCAGCTAATTCGAAAGCTAGACAAACATTTTCTACCAAGAAAGAATAAGGACTATGCTAGATTTCAATTTGGAAATCTTTCGCAACAAACAGACGAAAATATGGCTCAATATTACACAAGAATTCGTGAGACGGCGAAAAAATGTGAATTCGCTAACGAGGATGAAGCG